TCTATCTTTCTCACTCATTCATGTAGACAAACCTATTAGAAGGCCATGGCCTTCTAATAGGGCGTTTGAACTTTTGTCCGAACATGGCCTTATACAGGGGGTGGCCTTCTAATATAGGGTGGCCGTCAATTTTGGGGTGGGACGGTTACAAGATCAGCTTATAAGAAATCTTAAGATGTTATAGGATCTTGTAACAAAAAGTTATATGATCTTGCAAGATCTTGTCAGTTCTTATCACAAGATCATACGATTTCTTGTTACAAGATCTTCCAAGAAGCGATGACTCATTCTCTAAGCTATCTATCTCAGTCCAGCGTGGTTTTCCAGGGATCGTTTAAAAAACTGATTTTGGGATTTATTTTTAGGAAAGATTTTGGCTGTGAAAATATGCACCTGGATCTTGGCTGTCAAAGGGTGGAAACCGCAAGTCTTCATCTTGTTCCTATCAAAAGTTATTCAAAAAACAACCGAGTGTGTTGACTTCTGGAACGGATAATAGTTGGTTGTACCAAAACATTGTTGAGTCCTGTCATGGTTACACGCAGCTCCCAAGAATTTCTCGAACTAGCGATGATGATGTGAAACGGAGTCTAATAGACGTCCATAAAGATAAGTCTTTTTGCGATGAGCAAATCGAAAAAAAATTAGCTATAATGAAAAGATTTACGCCTTTATCTAAATTATCTCTCGATAAAGATATGTTTAATGTTGCTTTTTTGAATGTTAAAGGTCTAGTTCCTCATTTTAAAGATGTTTCAAATCATTTTAATTTACTTCGTGCAGATGTTATTGGCCTTGCAGAAAGTTGGTTATCAAGCAGTAATTATGTTAATGGTATTCAACTAAATGTTTATAATGTTATTCACAGAATACGCAAAGAATGCCGTGAAAATGCGTATCTACTTCGTTCATTAGTTCATGGTGGTGTTGGTATTTATATCAAAGTATAAATTCCATTTGAACAAGTTATTTTAACTGATGTGTTAAATGTAGAGTGTATCGTTGTTCATTTAACATTAATCGACTTTTTATTGTAAAAGCATATCGTTATGCAAAACAGCGTAAAACTGATTTTTCAAATGGATCGAAAGAAGTTCGACACATCACTCGCTCGTCTAATAAACCTGTATTCATGGGCCATCAACTTTATGGATTCATTGCTTTATCCGTACAATTCGAATAAATTCTTCGAATGCGAAATTTTTTAAAAATTGATGTATTGTGCGTACGGCCGTTTTGTATCGAGACACACCGATAACCAAATAAGTAATCATAAAATAATGAATAATCATATAAAGCAATCACAATAAAACTGACTGAACAACATTCAAAGTTCTACTTAACTATAAATATCAAGCCAACTGTATCTCTATCTTTTCACTTTATATCGAAAGCTGAAGAAGAGTTTGGTCGTCTGCTGAAAATTTTGATAAAAAATAAAAAATATGTGATTTTTTACAGTGTAGCACACCACAGAAATTGTATACTGATATGTTTAGTAATTGAGAAAATAGTGAAAATTAAATAATTCAAAATGTGTCTCTTTTCTATCCCAATTAATTTGTGCTCTCTAAAAAATTTAAAACGTTCTCTCTTCAATCTAATTGCATTCTCTTTTAAATTCTCGTTCAAGATCATTTATCACATTCATGTGTATGTTTAATAATGTGTGAGTGACCACCTGATGATGATATTTTGATTTATGCATTATGAAGAGTGGTCTATTTAAATTGAACCATATTGAGTAACAACATGAGTACTTGTAAATAATACTTGATTGTAGTATAAACTGTATAAAACAGTATTTATAAAAATTTACGTGATAGCCAATGGAGTAAAAAATACCGAGAAATTCGAGAAAGTACAGATTAATTTTGAACAATGGAGGTAAAGGAAAGCTCACTGTCTGCCGAAACAGGACCAGTGTTAAAACACCCAGTTTTTGTTTACTAAAAGATCGAAGAAGTAGAAAATAATTTTGAACGACAGAAGTTTGAAGAAAAAGTCACTTTCGCAGATTAGGATTACAATATTTTTAAAACTCAGAATGTTCCATAGTGGAGCATTAACATCAACTTGATCATGGAACATCAAGTGGCGTAGGGACAATAAGTAATATTTACTCTGTAAAAAGTATACCAATGGATGAGAAACAGATGTTCAATAGGACGCCGAAAAATGGCTTATAAGGATCTAAACTTTACTAGAATCATTGGAGGAAACCAAAACGAAAACCGACATCCAAAAAAGGTATTGAGAACGCTTTTGAAATATCTCAGTTTGTTTCAGTTCATCTAGATTCACTTTTTTTTAGAATCCATAGTTCTCCACATGCACAGATCTATGGCCCACAATTATGTCCATCTTCTTGCAAAACAGTACCAGAATATTCTAGTCTAATACACAGTAGTCATTGGGTACTAGACCACAGTCACTACCACAGTTTCTAACAGCTCGTAATAAGTCGGGATGAATAAAATGATCAAGAGGATCTATATAATGTATAGTATAGCTGAATTGCTTGTGCTGGCACCCTAGTAAAAGTCTTAAACACTGCTTAAAATTATCTTACTAAGATCTTATCGTTTAAGATTTTGATAAGATAATCTAAGATCTTAATAAGGTTTAAGGACTCTACTTTCATTCACTCCTTTGTTTTGCTCTCATTCATCTATATAAAGGAACACCGAAAATATGAGTGATTTTACGGTTATTTTTCTTCCAGACTCTGCTAGTACTTGCTCTCTCGAAAGTGTTCAACAACTTTTTAGAGAGGGTACATGCAGGGCAAGGTCCATAGTTGGACACCCGAAAATATGAAATTTCTCTTAATTCTTCAACACTGTTCAGCTGCTGCTTTGGATAGTGTGGATTTAAAATTCAAAATTCTCGCGAATCGTGAATGAATACTATTCAAAAATGTAATCATTCTCACTATTTAGATCCTAACAGGTTCTTGTCCAATCCTGAAAAAATCTTACACAGCATAATCTTAGTAAAACCTTAGAAAAATCTATCCTCATGAGAAAGTGCTCTTAAGGCTGTGCGCGAAGAGCGTCAGTTTTGGTCATCGATTTCATACGGTTTGATATTCTTCTCCACGTAAATTAACGGTTGTTTTTTTATATCTCCGGTCAAGAAAACCGTTAGGATTTATAACAGTTTCACAATATTACTCTTTCCTTACCAGCTGACTGTTGTTTTGAACCTTAAATGACATCGCTTTATAAC